ATTTAGTCGTTTGACTGATTATTTATTTTGTTTTTCAAACAGTTGTAAATGATTTTTTTTACAAAATATATATAGGTCACAAAAAGGGTTGACCCATATACAGAGCTTAAGTGTAATGGGATTTATTCGTGTAAGCGTCATAAATGTTGAAGAGAAATCTTAATTGTAATTGTGGAAAAGGAGTTCAGATTTATTCTCAGATGATTTTGCGAGGAACCTTCTAAGGCTGGCATACAATTCTGAATCTACCTAAGGGGACATAAGTCCAGACTTTCATGTACATGATGCAAAAGTCTGGAAATAATGACTCCAGATTTAGTGATACATAGATATATCATAGTTGTTTCCTCTATCCGAAACATCAATTATGGAAAGAGAATTCTGAATTCCCATTGGAGAGAAGGAGTTCAGATTTATTCTCAGATTTCTAAGGCATGCTACCTTGTAAGGCTGGCAAACAATTATGCACGTTGACAAAGACACACTTGTCCAAACTTGTATGTCCAGACTTATACGTCTGAATACAATGGATCCAGACTTAGTTAGACATTGAACATATCATAGTTGTTTTTTTCGTTTAAAACATCAATTAAGCCACGAAAAAAGGAGAATAAACGTGTAAAGGGAGAAATGCCACTTAAGTAGACCCATTTGAATCGTAAGTGAAGCTGTGTGTGTGGAGTGACTCTCTGCATACAACACTTAAACGTTTTTAGGCCTTCTCATTAGCTCTGACTCGACAATCTGGTACATAACTCTGAAAAACGAACGTGCAAAAAAAACTGACAAGCAATTTCTTAATTTACGTTGTATTTAGACCTTTAATTTACGGTTTCCATAACCGCCTCATCTGGGTAATCATTTGCTTCTTATAAAATTATTGTTATCACAGACAACTTCCATTTCCTACTACAGTAAAAAAAAGCATTCTTTAACACAACTGACTAACTGAGTCCATTTTCTCACGATTGTTCATTCTAATGTTTTATTATGTACTAACTTCATGTACTGGTTTCTTGTTGGAAAATTAATTTTCTTGCAAATATTTTTAAAAAGAAATTCGATGGATGCTAGAGAAAGGAGAAAATTTAGAAAGACTGTTTTGAATAGTAGTAGACAGTCATTGAAATCTACATCATCAAATGTTGAAGGTATTTGATTCAAAAGCATTTTGAATTCTATTTTGAATGAGACAAATATTACCTGTTCAGGAATTCTGTTGAAGGCACTTTTTGACAATCATCCTTTCCTGTAACTTTTTACAGATAATATCTCAAATTATGATAGGCAATTAGAATCTTCATCTCAGAGGAATAATATTCCCTACCATAATGAGAATATGGATCCAAACACATGTCCACAGTTTCAACATACAAACTTGGCACATTCTTCTTCATATGTGACTATCACAAATCCATTATCTGATAGTCCTAATGGTATGCGTAATCTCTTGTACACCTCATTTTTAAAGTAATGCTTCAAACACATTTTCAATACTAACAAATGTCTTACATTACTTAAATTTGTATATTTTAAACAGCAAGTGTTCATCTAAACAAACACTATTGCTTACGTTCTACCGCCAATTCATCCATGCCTTTATCGACAATAGACCAAGCTTCTTCTATGGTTCGGTTATCAGCAAGGCATCATAGACTACAAAGAAGGAATGTAAATGTAGCTGATATACAAATCATTTATATTACATCAGATGAAGAACCGGACCATCCAGCAACAGCTATAAACATAATTGCAGGAATATCTGAAGGTAATTATTGATTAATCAAATGTTTAATACTTATAGTTAGTTATTAGATTCGAATTTATTAAACAGAGTACTTGGATCACGGTGATGAAAGTGTTATTTGTGAATGTTGTGATGCAAAACTATGGAAAGATGAAGCTCTTTGTGGGAAAAAATGCGGGATGAAACAAGTTACTCTCTTTGTTGTCTTTATGGAAAGTTCAGCTTCCAAAAGAGAAAGAGATGGCTACTTCTTACGTAAATCTGTTTCGTTGTGCGGACTCAAAAAGCAAATACTTTATGAAGAACATTCATCGTTATAATTCAATGTTCTCATTTACATCAATGGGTAGAAAAATTGATTCTTCCATTAATAGTGGAAATGCACCATACATATACAGGCTTAATGGTCAAAACTACCATAGGATGGGTAGTCTTCTACCACCAGATGGAACAAAACCGAAATTCTCTCAATTGTACATATATGATACCAAAAATGAAGTTTCAAATAGACACAATTCATTTAGGTATACATTCATCCTTATTGTAATGTCTCTTAATAAATTTACTTGAATTACACAGTATGGTTATATTAATGGTCACTCTGATTTTATGTTTGTTATGATTTACTTAGTGAGAAACAAGAAGCCTCTGCATCAAATTCTGATTCCCTTGATATTAAGATTATTCAATACTTAAAGAACATACTAGATGCAAAAAATGTGTTGGTGAAGTCTTATAGAATTGCAAGAGATTGTTTTGAATGCTACCCGGATGTCAAGCTAAAGTTACGGCTGATTGGAAAAAGATAAAAGGATGGAAGAACATATAACCTTCCAACTGCTTCAAAGGTTGCAGCTTTAATTGTTGGAGATGATGGTGGTACAATTGAAAAAAGAGATATCATTGTACAACATTAGACAGGTTATTTAGAACAAATAAGTGAATTACATCCTTTTTTACCTTCCACTTCAATATCCATTGTTATTTCCATACGGAGAAGATGGTTATAGAGTTGACATTCCTCATAGAGAGGTAACATCTTCAAGCAAAAGTAAAAGAACAATTGTAACAATGAGGGAGTTCTTCGCCTTCAAACTTCAAGATAGAAGAAATATGTTTTCATTACTTCTCAATGCAAGGAGGCTTCTACAGCAATTTATTGTTGATGGGTACACAATGATCGAAAGTGAGAGGTTGCATTATATACGTAAGCAACAGAAAGTCCTAAGGTGCAAGACATATGATAATCTATGCAATGTACAAGAATAAGGAGAGTGGGATGTTTCAAACATTGGACAACGTGTTATACTACCTTCTTCTTTCACCGGTGGTGCTCGGTACATGATGCAAAATTATTTGGATGCAATGTCCCTTTGTAAATGGTATGGATATCCTGACTTGTTTCTAACCATGACTTGCAATCCAAAATGGACAGAAGTTAGAAGATTTGTTAAGGACACATGCCTAAATCCAGAAGACAGACCTGACATTCTTTGTCGTTTATTTAAGATAAAGCTTGATGCACTTATTAGAGAATTGAAAGAGAATGAGTTTTTTTGGCAAAATTCAAGCAGGTATGTTCAATTTATGATAACAGTATCAACATATTTYTTCATACTTTTAGTCTTATCTTTATTAATTTAAATTGTAACTTTTTTGTAGTTGTTTATACAATTGAATTTCAAAAGCGTGGCTTGCCTCATAGTCATATATGTCTGTTTATGCACCAAGATTTCAAGCTACCTACTGTTGAACAGATTTATCCTATCATCTCAGCTGAAATCCCAGACAAAAATAGTGATCAGACTTGTACTTACTTGTAAAAGAGTTCATGATGCAYGGACCATGTGGTGAAGGAAACATTAATTGTCCATGCATGATTGATAGAAAGTGTTCAAAAAATACCCAAAGAAGTTTTCTGAACACACTTCAATTGATGTTAATGGTTATCCTGTATACCGCAGACGAGTTGATGGACGTTTTATTGAAAAATCAGGTGTTAAACTAGACAACAGAAATGTCGTTCCATATAATAAACATATGTTGAAAAGATATCAAGCCTACATTAGTGTTGAGTGGTGAAATCAGGCATCTTCAATCAAGTATCTATTCAAATGCATCAACAAGGGTCCAGATAGAGCTACTGTTGCAATTGTAGAAAACCGTGATGATGCGGTCACTGTTAATGCTGTTGATGAGATAAAACAGTATTATGATTGTAGATACCTTTCTGCAAGTGAAGCTTCATGGCGTATTTTTGGATATGATGTTCATTACAGGACTCCTTCTGTTTTAAGACTTCTTTTTCATCTTCCGGGACAACAACAAGTGGTGTTTGATGCTGAAGATAATATTGATAATGTGCTAAACAGACCATCTGTGGCGTCCTCAATGTTCTTAGCTTGGATGCATTGTAATCAAATTTATCAAGGAGCACGAGAACTCACTTAAGTTGAATTTCCTACAAAGTTTGTGTGGAAATTGGATGAACGACATTGGGATCGAAGGAAAAAAGGGTTCTCAATTGGACGGATTCATTCAGTTTCTTCTACTGTAGGAGAAGGGTATTACTTACGAATTCTTCTGAATAAAGTCAAAGGTCCTAAACCATTTGAAGACATTCGTACAGTTAATGGAAAAACATTTCTGACTTTTAGAGATGCATGTTATGCTCTTGGGCTTTTAGACGATGACAAGGAATATATTGAAGCCATTGAAGAGACAAATTTAACTGCATCTGGTTTTTTATCTCCACTTCTTATTTGCAACCATGCTGATTTCAAATAGTTTATCTAGACCTGAATTTGTTTGGGAAAAAACATGGCAATACTTAGCAGATGGGATTCTGTACAATCAATGAATTGCTTTACACTCGCCAGGTATGCTAATTCTATATCTTAAGCATAGAGTTATACAACTATTATCAAAAACTATGGTTGTTATTAAATTGTATCTACTTTTAATTTCATGTATTAATTGTGTACATTTATATTATCTTCTAACAGATTTATCTCTTAATGAAGAACAAGTGAAGAATCTAACTTTGTTCGAAATTGAAAAGATTTTGCTTCGTAACAATTCCACGTTGAAAGACTTCACTACACTGCCTTATCCTGATAATGACTCGCTTGAATCCTCAAACAACTGTTTGATTGCAGAAGAACTGGACTATAATCATCATAATTTATGAGATGAGTTTCAGACACTTGTAACTGCTCTAAAAAATGAGCAAAGAGGTGTGTATAATGAAATCATGACTGCGGTTGAAAAGAAAAAAAGTGGTGTATTTTTTGTTTATGGGCATGGCGGAACAGGTAAAACATTCCTATGGAAGACCTTGGCTGCATCAATAAGATCTAAAGGAGAAATTGTTTTAAATGTTACTTCCAGTGGTATTGCATCTTTACTTCTTACAAGTGGCACAACAGCACACTCCCGGTTTCACATCCCGCTCATTCTCAATGAAGATTCTCTTTGCCACATGAAGCCAGACAATGATGTTGCGAGCTTAATAAAGAAAACTACTTTGATAATATGGGATGAGGCACCAATGGTTCATAAACATGCATTTGAAGCATTAGATAGAAGTATGAATGATATTTTCAATGCTCAGCGTAGTGGTGACTCACATATGCTTTTTGGGGGTAAGGTAATTGTTTTTGGAGGAGATTTCAGACAGATTATGCCGGTCATTCCTAATGCAGGTAGACAAGACATCGTAAATGCATCATTAAGTTCATCTTACATTTGGAAAAAAATGCAAAGTCCTCAGGTTAACTAGGAACAAGAGGCTAACTGCAAACAGTGAGAGTTCAGAAATTGAACAAACAAGGGATTTTGCAAAATGGATTTTGGACTTAGGAGAAGGAAAAGTTGGAGGTGATAATGATGGTGAAACAGTTATTGAGATACCTCATGATCTTCTCATTTTCGATTGCATCGATCCTATATCTGCATTAATCGAATTTGTCTATCCTTCAATTCTTGAAAACATCAACAACTCAGTTTATTTTCAAGAACGAGCAATACTTGCCCCAAAAAATGAAGTAGTTCAAGAAATAAATGATTGTTTGTTGTCATTGTTTCCAGGAGAAGAAAAGGAGTACTTAAGTTCAGATACGTTATGTGAATCAGAGCACCTTCATGATGAGTTTGATAAAACTTTGTACTCTCCTGATATTTTAGATGGTCTTAAATTATCAGGAATACCAAACCATAAGATTTTACTAAAAGTTGGTGTTCCTATCATGTTACTAAGGAATATTGATCAAAAATCTGGATTATGTAATGGTACTAGACTGCGGGTGTTAACATTGGGAAATCGAGTAATAGAAGCACAGGTCATAGCTGAAAGCAATTTTGGAAGTCGTACATTCATTCCAAGAATGTCCTTAACACCTATAGACAAAAGGATACCATTCAAATTTCAAAGGAGACAGTTTCCGATTGTTGTATGTTTTGCCATGACCATTAATAAGAGCCAAGGACAATCATTATCAAAAGTTGGTTTATTTTTAAGACAACCGGTCTTCACGCATAGTCAGTTATATGTTGCTTTATCCATAGTCAAAAGCAAGCAAGGTTTGAAAGTACTAATTATGGATTATGATGGCATTATTGACAGTAAAACAACGAATGTTGTATACAAAGAAGTGTTTAGTAATATATGATACATTGTTCTTATTTTATTAATGGTTTACATATTTAACTTATATTTGTTCAGTTTATATTGTGTTATAAATATTGTTTTACAACTTCATCTTATTAACTCATATTATTATTAATTCTTAAGAGGCTTATTTTTCATTTATATTCTGCATTATAATTATCCGGCCATAGAGGATCTACTTGTGCTACGTAAATTCTCTCACCCGGACTCCGTCCTTCATACAGAGCTTTAGAGAGGGACTGTATATACTACGCAGAGTCTCTAATCAAACTTTCATAATTCATACAGAGCTTTAGAGAGGTACTGTAGAAACCACGCAGGACTTCTATATATGATTGTGTGCTTCATGCAGAGCTACACAGTAGCTTTGCATCTACAATGCAGAGCCTCTGTGCACAAAAAATTTATACAAACTTGTAGCGTTGGCTAATTTTACCAATTAACTCTTGAAAAGAGCTTCACACTTATAACCAGATTGGTCGTCTTGATTTAGAAGTCTTGCAATGCTGGATATTGTCCGTCGTGAACTCTAGAGGATTTCTTAGACCTTGTGTTTGTTAAGCCTGATTCCGTCCTTCATACAGAGCTTAACAGAGGTTCTACACGTGTTTTGCGGTCAATCTGAACCAGACTACGTGTTTCATGCAGAGCTGCACAGAGGTTCTGCATTTAAGTCTTGAAAAAGAGCTATGTCTCCTCACGTAATGCGTCGATGATCTGTCTCTTACTCTGAAGATGACCTTCACTCTTGTACCTGTAAATAGTTTTCTTCTTCATCTTTAGAAACGTTTTTACGCTTGTGTCCTTCAAGCCTGCCTCTGTCCTTCATACAGAGCTTCATAGAGGCTCTGTACTTGTCTTGAGTAAGAGTTCTCTCTCTGCATGTACTACCCATAACCTATGATTCCCTTTGCTTGTCTCATACAGAGGTATAAAAATTATCAACATGTACTACGCAGCGCTGCATACTAAATCTACATTGTTCGTCTTCATTTAGAAGTTTTTCTGATCATCGAAAGACAAGCCGTCCTTTGTATATGTAACATTTAATTCTCGAGTAAGAGCATCTTTATATCAAAAAATTAATCGCACTTGTACCTTTGTTTAAGTTTATAAATTACCTCTGATTATTAATTGTTTATAAAATACATATCAGTTTCGCTTAATTTTTGTCATTAACCCGTGTAATACACGGGTCCGAACCTTATACATATATATATATATATATATATATATATATATATATATAGTTGGGTTCACGTGAGACCAAGGGTGTTTGGAGACCCGTAAGACCAATTTATGTTCATTGATCAACTTTATAAGCTAATGATCTAATGGTCTAAA